GCTCAGAGAGGCTGAATGGCAAGTAGCTAATCTCTCTCTGCTTGCATCTCCCGAAAAAAGGGGTGTCCTTCTGCTCAACCACCAGTAAAGAACCTTCCCCACCACTTCCTGCCAGCTAGTTGTTGACTAGACCTCTGGCCCCAGGTTAATTTTATTTAATCAAACAATTCATAAATAAACGTTAACACACCTTTACACAGCTAAAATAATATTTCACACATTTTCCTTGCAATCCCTTTGTGCTCATCATGGTCCTGGTCCAAATCCCCCACTACAGCCCCAGATTCCACTGGGCAACTTTGTGTCTTAGAGGTCAGCTCAGATACTGCAACCGGCCAACCTGAGCTTCATGACCTGTCCCTCTCTTAGAGGTGATAGCAGCTTGGCCCACAGCTTGGCACTAATGCCACCTCACCTAGGCTTCATGCCCTATGTCCTTCCCCTAGAGCTGGACATACTAGCATAGTCCTGTAATCAATCCTGGCATTCAGGAGGCTGAGGAAAGAGGACCAAAAGTTCAAGGCCAGCTGGGCATAGTAGCATAGGCCTTTAATTCCAGCCCTTGCAAGGCAGACGCAGGGAAATGTTTGTGAGTTCAAGGCCAGCCTGGCCCATATAGCAAGTTCCAGGTCAATCAGAGCAACCTAATAAGATCCTGTCTCAAAAACAAACAAAAGAAAGAAAAAAATTTCAAGGCTAGCCTGGGCTCCACAGGTTTCATAAAAACAACACCCAAATAAAACAGGGCTGGGGAGATGGCTCGGTGGTTAAGAGCACTTTCTGCTCTTGTAGAGAAAACAGTAGCTCACAACTGTTTGTAACCCCAGTTCCAGGGGATCCAGCGCCGTCTTCTGCCCTTCACTGGCATCAGACATACGTGAAGTACACATATATATCATATATGCAGGCAAAACATTCACAAAATAAAAATTCAAAGTCCAACAAAACTAAAATAGCAGAAGTCAGTGAGACACAAGTCAGTAGTTCAGCCCTTATCTACCGTGTGCCAGACCTGGGCTGAGAGAGGGAGGGAAGGAGGGAGAGGAGAGAGGAACAGAAAGTAGAAATAGTGAATGTCTATGGGCTCAGCCTCCAAAGTCTCCAAGTTCCCTGGCTTCTGAGGACTCACTTGATCTTGGTCCAACTCCTGGCTCCAGGGATGACCCAACAGCTTCCCATAGCTCCTCCCTGTGGTGGCCAAAAGGATCTTATACTTAGGAGCTTGAAGTTAGGACTCCACCCTTCCTTCCCTCCCTTCCCTTTTTCTTCTAACTTTTCATCATGGAAATTTCCATACACGTACACAGAAGGAACTGAAAACTGGCCCTTCCCGTCTTTGGTCTTGGGGCGGGAGGTAGGTGTGTGTGTGTGTGTTTGTGTGTGTGAGATTGTGCCTCCCCTTCATCTCTTTCTCGTTTCTCTTTAATCTTTTTTAAAATTATATTTTATATATTTATTTACTTTGTGTGATGTGTGTACACGTGCACAGTGCTCAGAGGACAATGTGGACTGTGGGCATCAAACTCGGGTGTTCTGGCTTGAGGACAGGCAGCCTTACACACTGAGCCTTCTTGCCTGGCCACCCTTAAGAAGTTTAAAGTAACTTGAGTATCACTGTAAACACAGAAGTGCAATTAAGTATCTGTTTAAAATCTAAACCTAACGACCTTACTTCTTTGCTTAAATCTCCTGGTACAGGCTTCTCAAAGGTGAGAAAGTCACTAGTCCTCTCTCCCCACACTCACCAGCCTTGTGTCATTCTTGAAGGTTCAATATGGACAGGTCGCAGCCAGGATCCCCATTTCCCTGGCAAGTCTTAACACTCCCCTCTGGCCAAGTTCGTTTCTAATTCAAGTGCTTGCCTCCCCCATCCTCTAGTCCCAGTGGGAGGCCAGCCTAGGAAACTGAGCATTAAGATCTGAGTTCTGTTTTAAAAATACCCCCTGGCTGCTAAGTGGAGGATGAGCCGGGGGTGGTGTAGGGTGGGGTGGGGAGGGGGAAGCAGGAAGACAGTCCTCTGAGATAAGGAATAGATGGCAGCAGGGGGCTATCCTAGCCGGCCACAAAGTAAGCGTTCACAAACGTGAGCTGTTAGCAGAGTGGCGATATAAGGATGCTTCGCGGGCCTTGCTCCGGATGACCCCCAAGGCTGGCTGCTTACAGTACAGGAGAGCAGGGTCTCCAGTATGCCTGGGAGAGGGAGGAGTTTCAGGCACACATGACGTCATTCCCACAAGCACAGCTGGCCCCAAGTGGGGATGGGACCCTCTAGTCTTACAAGCACCCGCGTGAATGAGTATTCCAGTGTGGGTATCCAGGGGCGCCTCTCAGGGACAGAGTCAAGGTCAGCTGGAGTGACTTTGTGGGTCTAAGTGGTCGAGGAGGGTGGACACAGCCGCGGGCCGGATGCGCTGAGAAGCTCGGCCGCCAGGGGGCACCAGAGGACCTCCGTCCATCGTGGGCCGTCCTAGGTCCGACCCGACCCAGGTGTCTCCTATGTCCTCGCAGGCGCGAGTTCAGGTCGCCTTGAGAATGAAACCTTCTCTCCCTGGCCACCTCAGTACACAACACTGCGGTTCGTGAATCTCGGCCTACCACAAGCCTAGTGGGTGACCTTGAATAGGCAATTTGGCCTTCCTTGTCGTAAACTGACTCTCACTTCGACCCATTTCTCCGCACACCCCGTAACAATTAGGGTTCCCAGTCTTTGAAAACACGCTTTGAAAGGTGGTATGTGCCTTTAATCCCGGCAGAGGCAGGTGCTGAGTTCCAGGCCAGTCTGGTCTACAGAGTGAGTCCAGGACAACCAGGGCTATGCAGAGAAACCCTGTCTCAGAAATGCACTAAATAAATAAATAAATAAATAAATAAATAAATAAATAAATAAAATAAAAATTCCATCAACCACGAGGGAAAGTCTGTAGTGTATTATTTATGATTTATTAAAGCTTACCTGAAGATTCAGAAAGCAAAGTCAGCCACAAGCCATAGAAACCAGGCACACACCTTTACTCCCAGCAGCCAGGAGCTAGGAGGAGGTGATAATACACATATGTAATCCTAGGACTCAGGGTTAAGAGGCAGATGGGTCTCTGTGAGTTCAAGGCCACCCAAATCTACACAAGATTGATCCAGTCCTAAAGAGATCTCAGCACCTGGGATCACATGCTTTTGTTTGTTTTGTTTTTTGTTTTTTGGAGACAGGGTTTCTCTGTGGCTTTGGAGGCTGCCCTGGAACTAGCTCTAGGCTGGTTTCCAACTCACAGAGATCCGCCTGCCTCTGCCTCCCGAGTGCTGGGATTAAAGGCGTGCGCCACCATTGCCCCGCAGATCAAACACTTTTAATCACAGCACTAGAGGCATATAAAAGATAGAAGCAGGATCTCAGTGGCATTCATTCTCCAGACACATTGAGGATAGGAAGACGGGGTTATCCAGGAACAATGAGAGGCAGTAGGATCAGCCCATTCACCTGAGCTAGTGGCCTGCTACTTTGCTTTTCTGACTTTTGGCTTGAAGTTTGAACCCCTTTATCAGTCTCTGGGTCATTTATTATTCCTGCTACAGGAACCTACCCCTCATCCTACAGAGGATGAACTACCCCTCATCCTACAGAGGCTGAACTGAGGCCATGCTCAAAGACCCTGATTGGCCCCAGGGCTGGGTTCCTAACAGCAGGTAGTTTCTCAGACTTGTAATGCTGTCAACCAGACTGGAGCTCAGGACGTGGAGACAGCCAAACGAGAGGTTGGAACCTGCCACCAGCCCAGCCATATCTGGAGCCAACACCTATGATTAAGTATGCACTCAGGTCAGGTGTGTCTGCTAGGTCGGGAGAAGACCCAGCTATCAGTACAGACTGTGACTCAGGGAGGTGGGTGGGGTAGCAGGACAGGCCGACTTTAATACCAGATAAGGAAGGCTGGAAGCCACAAGAGCTGTGATAATTCTGATCCCTTCCCCCACCCTGTACAGTTCTGCAAATGAACCAAGGGTTTACCTTTCCTTCATTACTGGCCATCTGTCATCCCTTTGTACCAGTCTTAGCCATAACCACAGCCGCCTTTTCTCTTCAGATCAGGCACCATGCTGCCAGTATGAACAGACATTGTCACCTAGATGAAGCCAAGCTCCAGAACATTCCATAGCTGGCCCTAGATTGGGATAGTAGCCACAGACCTGGCCCAGAACACAGCTGAGAAGCCTTTGGCTACCGTGTGACTCATCTGCTCTTGCTACACTGGGCATGTGGGTAGACAAAGGGAGCTGAAGAAAGAACTGGGACTCAGGACCAGGGGTCAAGGCTGGGCTATGGCTCAGCGGGAATGTTTGCCTAACATACAAAAGGGCCTGGGTTCTACCCCAGCACCAACAAGAACTAACACCCAAACCAAAACACAAGCAGGCTTTATCCTGACTCCCACCTTTGATGAATGAGATGCTACTGGGCCTCCATGGTCACTAATCTGAGGGTTGGAACACTCATCTGTTGGGGTAAGTGCTCAATGTGTCACATGAGGATGGTGGCTTTACTGTGACAAGCAGAGCAATACTGCTGACTGCTGCTCATGACAAGGGCCTGAAATCCAGAAACACCCTGTTGAGAAGGCTCTGAGCTTCTGACGGGCAACAAGAGATTCAGCACCACTTCTCTTTGGACCGACTATCCCACCTCTGTGGCTAAGCAGGGTAGCTAATGTTCTGGCAGGGTGTGTAGAGGCCAAACTGGCTCTTCTGTGGATTGTGTTGGGCTCCAAGAGGCTCAGCCCCCGAGAGGCCAAGTAGCCAATTGCCAGCACCAAGGAACAGCTCTGGACTTGGCTGGAGCCTCTGTGGAGCCCTTGGACATCAGAGGGAGCCCAAGACAGTAGCCTGAACACAGTAGCCCTCCAGGGACTCATGTCATACTCCATGTTTACAGAGCAAGCGCTCCTCCACCCCCACCACAAAGGCTGTACTGGGAGTGACTGAGTGAGGGCAGGACACACAGACCCACAAAAGCCAGAGCAGTCACTGCTTTTAATTCTGGTCAAGATTTCACACATCAAGAGCCAAGTGGGTCAGGCCCCTCGGCCCTGGCCACTCCTGCATATGTGATGGTTTAGAAAAATAAATATGAAAAGGCAGCTCTCTCACGATCATGGAGTTGATCTGATAGCAATTAAGTGTGTCTAAGCATCTGGCACAGTTCTGAGATTGCACCGAGAGGATCTGGAAGCACTTGGTTTGGTCTGAGGCAAAAAAGGCGGCCATGGAGGAGGCTGGCCTCCTGGGGCCTCACATCTCCGAGTCAGCGTACATGCCATTGATCAGGTAGTCCACCTGAGTGTAGTCCTTCTTCTTGTAGCTCTCATAGGCTTGCAGGGCAAACATCACCAGGACTGCGATGAAGAGGGTCACCCCAAGAACGAGCACCGCCAAAAGTAACATTTTGTTCACCAAGGATGGGGTGAGGGGTTCAGTTGTGACCACGAGGTACTGGCCTTGGGTGCTGAGCTGACACGAGTCTGTGGTTGGCACCTTAGGGTCCCCAGAGCTCCTGGGTGTTGGCCCAGCAGAGGCAGTACCAGCCGTGGCTTTGGTCTCCGCCCGCTCTGTTGTCAGGGGTGTGCCTGGCCCACCTGTCCCCTGCGTGGATACTGTAGGGCTTGGCTGTGTGGTGGGGGTCATGGCTTCCACTTCAGGGGTGGGGTTGGTAGGAGACACTGGCACTGTGCTGGCAGTTGGCTCCTTGGTTTGTATCTGGGTGGTGGTGGGCTCCAGGGTGGTACGTGAAGGACTAGGTGTTGACCTATCTGCTGTGCTAAGCACTGGCTGCCCTGTTGTCACATGGATGGTGGCACCTTGTATCTGGGCACCCGAGGTGGGTATGGTGTTCACGGTGGATGTGTTAGTAGGTGTGCTTTTGGCAGGACTCAGAGTCCTTGTGGGACCGCTTGTGTTCACAGTGCCTGCAGCAACAGTCATGGTGTGTGGGGCCACTGTTGCCACTGTGGCTGTTCTTGGTGTGCTGGCGTTTGCACTTGGCACTTCTGCACGGGGTGTGCTGAGAGAGGAAAGTCCAGCAGTTGTGATGGGTAGAGTCTTCCCTATGGATGAGGAGCTTGACGGTGTAGGTGGTGGTGCAAGAGTTCTGGAGGTCACACTGTCTGCAGTGCGCTCTCTGGTTGTTGGAATGCTTGTGTTTGTCCGGTGTGTTGTCATCTCTGCTGTCACTTTGGTAACGTTCAGGCTGGCTGCCCAGGTCCCTGTGATCGATGTGACAGGAGTATGTGACACTGTGGCTGTTCCCTCGGTTGGTTTATTATCAGCCGTTGAACTTGTGTTCCTAGGCTCACTTTGCTTTACTGCCTTGGGCCACATCTTGGTCATGACTAAAGTCAGAAGGGGACAAAGAGACAGAATACTTTGAACCACATGTAGGGGTCCCATGTTGTCCCCTTAGCTCCTGGCCCCTGTGCTGGCTGGATGGCACCATATTCTCCAACCAGAGCCCTGGGTGCTGATGGAAGTGGCATGTGAGTCCAGTACCTCCTCTTCTCCCCTCCACAGCTGACAACAGCTGCCCAGAGCCCATGACACCATGAATTTAGGACTCCTTTGCCCATTCTGAGGCTCCAGCCTGTGGAGACTTCAGAACTGTGTACCTGGATCCAATCCCTAGAGTATCGGGTCAGAAAGCTCACATTATATGATTAGCCAATGAAAAGAAAACAAACCTCAGTCCCTGTGCACACAGAAAGAAGAGTGACTGACATTCAAATTCTAATTAGCCTTGCTCAAGGATGGCTTGTCTGAAGGAATTCTCAGGGATAAGCAGAACCCCACAAGACAGGAGCACATTCTACACTGACGTGCCAACAAATGAACTCGAGAAGACAGGGCAACTCTGCAGGTCTCTTATTCACACCGGGGCTCCCATTTGTGGTCCCTCTATCCCTGACTGACAGCCCAGACCTGCAGCTGGGAAGGTAGGGATTTGTAGCTGCCTCTCTTCTTCTGGATTCAGGTCCCCGTGGGCCTTCCTGGTGGTCATACAGCTTTCTCAACTTACGTGACTCCTCAGACACCATATGGCTTCTAGATAAGGGCACGGAGGAAATCCAAACCAGCACCAGGGCTGTCCACATCTTGCTGGTGAGCTGGAAGCAGAGCTGGTGGTCTCTGAGCCTCTCAGCCGGCCAGCGCTTCAGGCTGTCAACAGTTCCCTTCTGCTTGGCCCAGGGATCTGGGGTGAAGAAGGCAAGCCTGTCAGAGGTGTTTGCTCAGCAGCACACAGTCTCCCCAGAGGCCCAGGGCTTAGCACTGTATCTGTTGACCACTGCCCAGCAGGGTCCATGATGTAAACTGAGCCCAGTGCTTAGACCAGAACCAGGGCCAGGAAGAATGCAATTCAGTAGCCATGAGAGATATGCCAACCTGCCTGTGTCTTGTCTCCCATTGCCTAAACCACTTGGCCCAATTTCCTTGAGTCTCAATTTCTAACGAGTCCCACTATCTTCCCTAGAAGCTAGAGTCAGAGCAGGAGGAAGCAAGCCTCACCAACAGGACGAACACTTCTCCGTGGTAGTGGGCGAGTCTTTTTTTTTTTGTTTTGTTTTTTGTTTTTCGAGACAGGGTTTCTCTGTGGCTTTGGAGGCTGTCCTGGAACTACCTCTTGTAGACCAGGCTGGCCTCGAACTCACAGAGATCCACCTGCCTCTGCCTGCCAAGTGCTGGGATTAAAGGCGTGCGCCACCACCGCCCGGCGTGGGCGAGTCTTATTTGTGTGTTCTGAGGGAAAGGTAGGGTGGTGAGAAGACTGTAACATCCTGCCAGGCAAAGCTGAAATGAAGGTTTTGCAGACTCCAGGCTCAGCTTTGAGTTCAGGCAAGGCAGCTGGGCCATGGCAATGAAGGCATTTAGATGGTTCTTGGATCACTTTCATCTACTGGTACCCTAAAGATGCCAGCAGGTACAGGGTGTTCCCTGTGCCACAGCCCTGGCTGGGAAGTCTGTTGCTGAGTTCAAGGAGGAAAGATGTGACAGACACTTCCAGTGGCTAGGGAGGGGCTCAGCTCCCTAAACATACTCCAGGTCTTAGCATGCCCACAAATCTGGGACAGGGGTGGGACAACTGTTTCTATAAAGGGTCAGGGAGCAAATATTTTAGACAGGGGATCATGCAAGCCATATGTGAGCCACTTAGTCTTGCCAGTGTAGTGAAGAGACAACCATGACAGCAGCGGCTGTGTCCCACTACTATCCGTACAGTAGGCATTCCAGGCAACGCAGCCCACAGCTGTAGTTTGCCAACGGGGTTCCGGAGCTTCCACCCACCTCAGGGTAGCTGATTCAGCTAAGCCAGGGAAGTGCTGATGACTCTACAAACACCCCCCCCCCCGGGGCCCTTAATAGGTACCCTGTCTGTCCCCAGACAGGTAAGGCCTGGGCCACTCACCAGAGGCAGCTGCTCAGTGCAGACTGGGAGGCCAAGCTGATGTCCTCCTGGGGCAGCTGTGGGCTTGGCATCCTGTACTTGCCATAGTAAGTCTGGCTTTGCAGGTGAGAGCGGCTGGGCAGGGCACTCCCAGGCCATGGCATTCGCTGAGGCACACGTAGGCAGAGGCAGGTGCTCCTCTGCTGTGTCAGGTACACCTAGGGTTGAAAGGGAGCCAACACTGCTTAGGAAGAAGAGGAGACAAATACACACTGAGGAGGCCCCAGAAGGAGCAGCACACAACAGCTCGGTGCTGGGAGTGAGCACGTGTCAGAGCTGTCAATGTCACAACTTCTGATGAAGCAATTCTAACACAAGAACTTTTGCTTGTTTTGTTTTTGAGTCAGGGTTTCTCTGTGTAGCCCTGGCTGCCCTGGAACTCACTCTGCAGACCAGGCTGACCTCAAACTCACAGAGATTCACCTGCCTCTGCCTCCCGAGTGCTAGGATTAAAGGTGTGCGCCACCACTGCCTAGCTCAAGAACTTTTTCTAAAGGAGGAACTGGACTAGAAGTCCCAGATGGATGTCTGGTGGCATGTGCCTGTGATCCTGGTAACTGTGAGTTCATGGTGAGCCTTGGTTGCATGGTGGCTTCCAGGACAGCATCTGATGCATGAGGCTGGGAGATGGCTTACTGCACAGGACAGGCACAAGGACCTGAGGTCAGATCCCCAACACTTATGTCAAAGCTGCACATGGCGGCATGCACCTGGAACTCCAGGTTCGAGGGGAGCAGAGACAGATGGGTCCCAGAGTTTTGAGTCAGGCTGGCTGAAACAGCAAACTTGCAGTCTGTGTCCACACAAAACCAGTGGAGAGGAGACAAGAAAGACACAACCTCTGGCCTCCACACACCTCATGGGTGAGCGCAACAGTACACGCACACCATAGCACACCTCCCCCACATCCGCTCCCATACACACCGCACCTCCCCACACCCCCTCACTCATGATAGAGATCCATAGATATTCTTTACAGTAGCGCAACTCTGGAATGGTTCTGTCAATATTGTGTCACTACTCCATAGTTGTTAGACTGACGATACAGATGTGTATCTATGGACACAGTATACATCATTAGGTGAATGTCAACAGTGAGTATCTTGAGGACTGGATTTGGATTATCTCTTTTTTACAAATTTACAGCATGGATCCCTTTTCAAAACATTTATATGAAAGGCACCAGCGAAAGGAACAGCTGATTTTCTTTGCTTTCAGCAGTTAGGCCGTGTGGCATAGAACAGTTGTTGACAAGTTCACATGCAGACCTTTTTACATTTACTTTCTTGTTTATGTGTGTGACTATGAGTGCATGTGCACATGTGTATGTGTATGTGTCTGCAGGGGCTAAAAGAGGACACTGGACCCTGGGCTGGGGTTACAGGCATTCATGAGTGCCTGACACGAGTACTTGCGACTGAATCTTTTCCAGTCCCCTACATAAAGAGGTTTTTTGTTTATTTGTTTGGTTGGGTGTTTTGGTGGTGATGGTGGGGGCACATTTCAAGACAAGGTTTCTGTGTGTAGTCCTGGCTGTCCTAGAACACGCTCCGTAGCAGGAATTTTTTTTTTAATTAAAACAAGTAATTATATGTGTGTGCCTGGGTGCAAGTGACGACAGAGCATGTGTGGAGGTCCAAGAACAACCTGCAGGGAATCTGTTCTCTCCTTCCGTCACATGGGCTGCCGGCATTGAATCAGATGGGCAAGCTTGGAGGCAAGTGCCTTTACTCCTGGAGTGCATGTGAGAGCAGGTGCCCCCAGAGGCCAGAAGCATCAGATTACCCTGGAGCTGGAGTTACAAGCTGTTGTGAGCCACTAGACATAAGTGCTAGGATCCAAACTCAGGTCCTTGGAGAGAGAACAACAGGCTTTTGTGTCCTGTGCCATGTTGTTGAGACATGTCTCACACTGTAACCTAGGCTGGCTTAGAACTCACTATTTAGCCCAAGCTGGCCTCAAACTTGTAGCAATCCTCCTGCCCCACCTCCCAAATGCTGGGATTTCAAGTGTGAGCTATTAGGCCCAGCTTTCTCTGATGAACATAAAACGTACACTCAGGAGCCCCTCACCTTCCAGAGGACAGATAGCGATGCCTGGAGACTAGAGAAGCAGGTTCTCACTTTCCAGAGGATAGGCATTAGCAGGTGGCAAGCCCTGGCATCACTACAAACCTGCTATCCAAAAAATGTGCAGAAACGCACACACCTGTACATACAAGCCCACTTGCACAGACCTGCCATTGCATAGCCAGCAATATGCATGCAGGCAAGCAGCTGCACGTGTGGGAAGTCATACATGCATACATGAGTGAGTGAACATACGTACGTACGTACACACACACACACAGAGTAGCAGCAGCAGCACCTCCACAAGACTATATCTAAAACATTCCACAAGTTTCTTCGAAAACTTTTGCTGTATGCCACTCCTTGTCACTCACTCCTAGCCAGTGGGTGGGTCTAGAAGTCACTCCCACAGAAACAGGAATTAGCTACTAAGAAGAGGCAAGAAGGCCCTTGTTGTACTGTGACTTCATCTCTCTGGCATGGTCCTGCCTCCACTTTTCAAAAGAATAGTCTCAATGTCAAGATTACATGTAGAGCTAGGCATGGTAATACATGCCTATAATTCCAGCTCTGGGGAGACAGAGGCAAGAGGCAAGTTCGAGGCCACCCCAGCTACAGAGGGAGATCTCAGATTTGCAAACTGACTAGCAAGCAACAGCATTCACGTGATCAGAAGTAAGTTTTGATTGGAAAACTTTAGGGAGCCTTAAGTCAGAGTTTGGACCTCAGTATTCTCGTTATCTGTATAAGAACCCTGGCAGTGTGTGTATACCTGGAATTCCAGTCCTCCAGGAACAAAGACAGGAGGATTGCCAAAAGTTCTAGGTCCTCCTGATCTATATAACAAGTTCCAAACCAGGGTTTCATAGTGAGAACTCATCTATTTTTGTTTGTTTTTTGAGACTGGGTCTCACCGTGTAGCCCTGGTTGGCTTAGAACAAGCTGTATGAACCAGACTGGCCTTGAACTCACAAAAATCTGCCTGCCTTAGCCTCCCAAGTGCTGAGATTAAAAGCGTGTGCCACCATGAACAATATGAAACCTCGCTGGAAAGATGGCTCAGCAGTTAAGAGCAATGAGTGTTCTTTCACAAGACTAGGGATAAATGTCCAGTACCCACATGGTGGTTCACAACTATTTGTTAATGCCAGTTGTAGGGAATCCAATGCCCTCTTCTGGCCACCATTCGAACTGCATGCACACGGTGCACAGACATGTTTTTCTGTGTAGGACTAGATGTCCTAGATGCCCTAGAATTAGCTCTACAGACCAGGCTCCAGGCTCAAACTCACAGAGATTCACCTACCTCTGCCTCCAAAGTATTGAGATTAAAGGTGTGCACCACTACTGCCTGGCAAAAATATTTTAAAATATTTTTTTAAAGTACTCTTAACCCCTGAGCCACCTCTCCAGGTACCTACCATATATATTATATATTATATATTATAGTATATTACATATTCTGAGACAGGGTCTCTTGATGAACCCACTGGAACTTGCCAAGTTGGCTAGACTTACTGACCAGAGAGTCTCTTTCTCCCCAGTGCTGAGGTTATAGGCCTGCGCTGTTTAATGACAGTCTGTTAACTCTAGATCTAGAGGATCTGACACCGTCTCCGGGCCTGCAGGGACACTACATGAATGTGGTGCAGAGACATGCATAAAATAAAGGAAAAACTAAGTTTTAGGTCAGAGACTAGGATAGACAGACAGACTGTGCTGAAAACTCCTCCTCTTTGGGAATCAATTCTCCACAGAACCCGCAAGGAATATGCAGCAGGGCACTTTTGCCAGTTCATACAAGAGGGCCACTATCCATCTGCCACACTGGCACATTCTTTGGACCACAGGCCAATGTCTATATACACTAGACTTTAAGTCTGTATTTCCTGGACTACTCCTACCAAAGTTCAGCCAGATGACGTGTCTGAATCTCCAAGTTTCAACATCATTCCTTTTTTAGGCTGTGCCTCCCAATTCCTCTAGTTTGATATCTTGCATTCTCAATCTTGCCTTGACTTTCAACTCCTTTGTGTTTTGAGATGTATGGATCAATACATACCAGTCACATAAAACTAGACTTCAAATTAGTGAACTTCTTTTTCTTTTTTTTCTCTTTTTTTTTGGTTTTTCGAGACAGGGTTTCTCTGTGGCTTTGGAGGCTGCCCTGGAACTCGCTTGGTAGTCCAGGCTGGCTTTGAACTGACAGAGATCCGCCTGCCTCTGCCTCCCGAGTGCTGGGATTAAAGGCGTGCGCCACCAACACCCGGCTGTGAACTTCTTTTTCTAACATACGCAGATTCAATACAAGAAGTCCAGACTTGGCAATGGCCATTAGTAATCTTTATCAGCAGGCCCCATCTCTACTGCAAGCTGGGGAGGTTACACATACACCGCAACAGAGATCCAGAAAGCTAATACAACACAAAGTACAGCCACCTGACCCTGACACATCACCTGGTTGGACTTATATACAGACATTGCCCTGTGATCGGAAGGACGTGTTCATGTGGCAGACATGAGCCTATGATCCTGGAACATTAGATATTATCTTAATTACATTGCTTAGCTCCAGGTTTCTGGAAGTTGAGGTGTCACCACTAAAATGCCAAAGGTCTATTCTTTTAAAGCTTGCCATGCCAGCATTTTCGATATTTCGCTATCTGTCAGGCAGGCCTAATTTATAAATAGAAAACCTCTACTTTAAACACTTTTCTGGTTGATTTTATTGAAAAATCAGAGCTGATTCCTAGGGGTGGGAGTGTAAGTAATGCAGATTCTTCTAGTTGGCCTCCTAAGCACCAGCCAGACTGTTAAGTGCACAAGCTAGCGGCCACAAGGGAAGGCAGGCAAGCAGACAAACGAGCAGGAAGGGAAATAGGATGGATTTTCCTCACTCCCAGGTAGAAAGAGTTTGGGAGCAGGCCTGAGTCACCCAAAGGGTCAACTGTTTCTGATACCAACACTGCCTGGCCCAGGACTCGCCAACTCTCGAGTGTCCACAGTGTGCGCAAACTGCCTAGCCTGAGCTCTCGCAGGCCGACGATCGTCGTCAGCCCACCTTCTCCTCCTGCGCATCCATGCTCCTCCAAGGGCTCGGCCCGTTCTTCCCTTCTCCTCGCTTCCATTCCTCACCGTCTAGCACACCGGGTCCCCATTCATCCTTCCTCCGCCCCACACCTCGCTGTCCATCCCCATCCGGTTCATGAGGCCTTCACGCCAGTCCCCTGGACGGCAGCGCGGGTCGCTTACCCGGGCGCGGCAGGCCTGTGGCCCTCGCACCGCAGCGTAGCCACTTCAGCGACTCAGCCCCGCGCGGGGACGTGGACCGCAGCGACACCCAGTTCGCTCAGCTCGCGGGTGAACGCGGAGCCCCACCCCGACCGCCCCGGAAAGACGTCACGAAGGCGGGACCAATAGGCTGTCGCTGTGGCCGAGTGCGAGGAGCGTTATTTGTGCAGGCCACGCCTGCTTCGAGAGCTGACTTCCAACCTGGTCCTGCCTTAGTCCGAAAGAGCTTTTTGGAGTCCGTCTAGCGGAAGTGACCGGTCCTCGGACTTCTAAACTGAGACTGTGTGCACGGCTTTTTCCAGAAGACCGGGAGAGGGGCCCGGGCCAGGCCACCCCAGATGCCCTCAGGCGGTGTCCCCTCTGGATGGGCGGCTCTGGAAGGCCTGGTGAGGGACTTTGGGCGACTCCTTTGGCCCGGTTCCTGCACTGCCCTCCTCCTCTGCTATTCAACCCCTTATGGCCACTCTTCCAGTCCCTGCTCACAGGCATGGGTACTATTTGCTTTGCGCTCACGGCACTGCCAGTTTCTGGCTAAACTCGTCACCTGAAGGACATTACACTGAATCAATTCTGCAAGAGGACCCTAACTTCTAATTTCCATGTCGAGAAACAGACTCACAAAGGGCTTTGGAATTTTACACGTGGCATGACAGTAGGACGAAATGGAAAGCCGGTGGAACTTGCTTTTAATTTGAAATAGATTGGGGTTAGAGAGATGGAGCAGCGGTTAAGAGCGCTGCTGCTCCTGAAGATGATCCCGTTAGTTTGCCAGCAGCCACACGGAGGCTCACAACCACCGAAACAGCAGTTTCAGGGGGATCACGTGCCCTCTGCCTTCAGTGCACATACGTACCTGTAGGCAAAAACTCCAACATATATTCTTGTGTTTTTGTTTTGTTTTTTAAAAAGTCAGCGTCTCGCCGGGCGGTGGTGGCGCATGCCTTTAATCCCAGCACCCGGGAGGCAGAGGCAGACGGATCTCTGTGAGTTCGAGGCCGGGCTGGACCGACAGCCTCCAAAACAATACAGAGAAACCCTGTCTCGTAAAAAAAAAAAAAAGTCAGCGTCTCACTTTGTATTCCTGGTGTACTAGGTGTAGTGGAACTTTGCCTAGACTGGGTTGTCATTGAACTCACAGAGAACCACCTGCCTCCTACCTGCCTCTACTGGGATTAAAATCATGGGCCACTGCGTCCAGTGGCCATACATAATTTTTTTAAAAAGAATTTAATGCAAAATAGGCTTTGCAAGCCATTTATCAAATTCTGTTACTGGATGGCAATTTGTGTAAGACCCTTCTAGGTTCCCCCACACCAGTCTAAACTAAAACCTGTCTATAAAGGGTGATTGGTCATCATTGCCAGTTTTGTTTTGTTTTGGAGATAAGGTCTCACCTTGTATCCCTGGCTGGCTTGAAGCTGCTATATAGAACATTCTGGCCTTGAACTCACAGAGATCCTTCTGCCTCTGCTTCCCTGCTAGAATTAAAAGTATGTGCCACCATGCTTGGCTTGTTTCCAGTTTTATAACCTGTCTTGGGTTCTGGACCCAGAAACAGAAGCTGAGGGAGTGTAGAAACCAATGGACCCTGCTCTGAGCTCCTGGAAAACTATAAGCCGCACTCACATCACCAGCACACCTGCAGTTCAGCCTCTATTTCATGCTGTGTGGAATTTGCCTGGCAAAGTGTGGGTTTGCTGAAACCACGCAAGGGAGGCCACTCAGGAGGCAGAGGCAGGCCAACGAGGCCAGTCTGGTCTATAGAGTGAGTTCAGGACAGCCAGGGCTACACAGTGATACTATCTCAAAACAAAAGTATGGAGAAGAATAGGGAGGAAATGAAGTCCTGATTGAACGTGTCTTGCTGACATGGGCATGGTCATGTTAAAGACCCCATGGGCCTGAGGCCCATGAGTGACAAAGCCTTCCTCTGGTTTGAATGTGAAAATTGACAATGTGAAAAAATGGCCATGGTAGTCTGAAGATTGCTCCCCTATAGAGACTATTCCTACTGAGATTAATTAAACCTGCCTCCTTGTTCAGCTGTATGTAATAACCCACTTCCCTGTTCAACTCTATAATAAACACCCTGACCCTGAGCTTCCTGGGCACTGTGCCTTCTATATCAGAGAGCCCAGCTCACCCAGTCCCAGCTTTTCCTGTACATGTGTCTGTTGTTCCTTCATACCTCACTGCCTCTAGTCAGGGTTCCAGAACCCAACCTGTTCAAGGGTGAGGTGAAGAATTAAAGGCTAGGGTTAGGCTCGAGGTGTAGGTGTGTCACCTCACCTGCTTGGGAGGCTAGAGCTAGAGAATTGCACATTCAAGGCCTACCTGGACTACAGAGGTAGTTCAAAGCTAGTCTTGGCAACCTAACAAGAACCTACCACGAAATGTACAAGGCAAAACGAGTGCAGGGGAATAGCTCAGTGGTCAAGTGCTTGTCTAGCATGTGTTAGTTACTGGGCTCCAGTATTGCCAACATGGGGGTTGGCAAGAGAGAAGACTCATTGGTTAGGAGCACTTACTGCCCTTGTGGAGGCATCAGGACCTAAGACCAGAGTTCAATTCCCATCACCCACACCGATGCCCACAACTTTCTGTAACAATTACAGGGTATCTGATGCCCTCCTCTGGCCTCTATGGGCAACTGCATGTGTTAGTGCTTACACACAGACATCAGACATGCTCATGAGAGAGACAGAGACAGAGACAGAGACAGAGAGAGAGAGGAGAAGAAAAAAGAAAAACAGGCTGTGAACTCTCAGATTGGAGGAGCCCAAAGGGAAGTAGACACTAACTGCCTGGAATCAGAGTCACTCACTGGACTAGTGTGGGAAACTAGCCCAATCCCAAGTCTATATCAAGTTCCTAGCATTGTGCTAAGGTTAATCTTCTGCTGTTGACAATGATTCTGTAGTTACATAAGTTGCTAATTTATGGGAGAAACTGGTTAACATAAAGGGAAGCAGGAACTCGATACTATTTTTGCAAAACTTCTGTAAGTCAAAATTATCTCAAAATAAAAGGAAATAAAGCACAGGGAATAATGGCCATTTTGCTGGGCATAGTGGCACCAGACTCTGTCCTGATATATAGGAGGTGGAAGTAGGTGGATCTTTGTGAGTTCAAGACCAGCCTGATCTACATATCGAGTTCAAGGCCAGCTAGGGCTACATAGTGATTCCCTGTGTCAAAAAAAAAAAAAGGTCAGTTTTCACAGCTGGCAAGATGGCTCAGTAGGTCAAAGGTCAAAACACTTGGTTCAATCCTCAGAACCCATATGGTGGAAAGAGAGACTAACTCCCCAAAGTTATCCTCTGACCTCCACACATACACATGGCACAGATGGCATAGACAGGGGCATATAGGAAGGGGCAGGTTAAGATGTAGCTCCAAGAATACCTCTCCAACAACCCAGTTCCTTCCTTCTTCTGTCTTGTACTTCCCAATACTATCAAGTTGGGAATCGATATAGGGATTAATCTAATGATTAGGTCCAAGTCCTCATGACCTGATGGTTCTGGAGACTACAATAGATCCCCATACTGTGGTAGTTTGAATGAGAATGCCTCTACAAGCTCTTTTTATGTTTGAATGAGTTCCCCAGTTGGTGGAACTGTTTGGGAAGGATTAGGAGGTGTGGCCTTGACGCAGGAAGTGTGTCACTGGGGGTGGACTGTGAGGTTTCAAAGGCACACTCCAGGCTCAGTCTGGAGCTCTCTCTGCCTCCCACCTGTGGATCAGGATATAAGCTTTTCGTTGTTCCAGCACCCTGCCTGCCTGCCTGCCACCACATTCCCTAGTACAATGGCCATGGACTAACCCTCTGAAACTGTATGCTCTCGTTAATGTTACCTTGGTCATGCTGTCTCTTCACAGCAATAGAATAGCAGTAACTAAGCAGAAGATTTAGCAGGTGTGCCCTTGGAGATGTGTGGCTGGGGCAGGCTTTAAGATTTCAAAAGACTCTTGCTCTCTGCCTCCTGTAGAGATACATTGTTTGCAATCTCACAAATAAAGCTTGCATGAAGATCAGAATGCAGAGCTAAGCCACTAGTTAGCCTCACACCTGAGCCACCAGTTAGCCATAGAGCACAAGTAGTGGTGGGCACCAACACTCTGGAAACAGAAGCAGATGGATCTCTGTAAGCTCAAGGCCACACTGGGCTACATGAGAGTGAATTAGTCTAAAAGTGAAACAGGGGGCTGGAAAGATGGCTCAGAAGTTGAGAGCACTGGCTGCTCTTCCAGAGGTCCTGAGTTCAATTCCCAGCAACCACATGGTGGCTCACAACCATCTGTAATGTGACCTGGTGCCCACTTCTGGTCTGGGCAGAACACTGTATACATAATAAGTAAATAATTATAAAAAATAAAATAAAAGAGAAACAGAACTCATGTCTTTAATCCCAGCACTAGAGAGGAATATAAGGCAGGAGCTCAGTCCAGTCTCAGAGCAGTTGAGTTTTGGTGGAGAGCATTGTAGTCTGCAGTCACTCTGAGGACAAGATCACCACTTTGGTCTTAGCCTTGGTAGAGGTAAGAACTCTTTAGTGGCTTGGCTGCTTTGCTTTTTTGATCTTTAGTTTGAACCCCAATATCTGTGTTTGTTTTGTTTTGAGTTTTTTCCCGAGACAAGGTTTCTTTTTGTAGCTTTAGAGCTTGTTCTGTGTAGATCAGGCTGGCCTTGAACTCACAGATATCTGCCTGTCTCTGCCTCCCTCCCACCCAGTACTGGGATTAAAGGTGTGTGCCACCACCACCTGTCTATTGTCTCTGTTTTTTGTTTTGTTTTGTTTTTTGGTTTTTTGAGACAGGGTTTCTCTGTGGCTTTGGAGGCTGTCCAGGAACTCGCTCTTATAGACTAGGATGGTCTCCAACTCACAGAGATCCGCCTGCCTCTGCCTCCTGAGTGCTGGGATTAAAGGTGTGCGCCACCACTGCCCGGTGTCTCTGGGTTTTATTATTGGTGCTACAGCCTTCTGTTAGTGGTTAAAGACAGGAGCCCTCGCTTGCTGCTAGAGACACTGCTATATCCTCTGCCATCATGAACTCTAATCCTCTGACACTGTAAGCTCCAAATAAACTCTTTTATAAATTTCCTTGGA